ACAAGGTAGCCCTTTGCACTTTGGGAGGCCAAGGCGGGTAGATCACCTGAGGTCAGGAATTTGAGACCAGCCTGGCCAACATGGTGAAACCTGGTCTCTACTAAAAATACAAGTTAGCTGGGCATGGTGGCACACCTGTAATCCCAGCTACTTGGAAGGCTGAGACAGGAAAATTGCTTGAACCCAGGAGGTGGAGGTTGCAGTGAACTGAGATCGTGCCACTGCAGACTCCGTCTCAAACAAACAAACAAAAATACTGGCTTTATATAAATAAAGCACAATATTACACACAGTTGCACATACACAAATAAATGCATGCACACACACAATCCCATCCCCCTCTCGAAAATAACAAATCCCATTTTTTATTTGGAAGTACCTTTACTCTGAACAGGAGATGTCCTGAGGAGATGACCTCAGGAAGCAGTCACGTTGCCCATGTTGCTTTGTTTTGTAGTTGCCGCCTTACTTGGAAGTTCTTCCTTTAGAGCTGTGGCATCAAGAAAATCTACCTCTGATCATGCTAGGATTGCTGAATATTAACATCAGACTTGAATATAACAAAACATTTTTATGTCTGCTTCCCCCACAGCCCCACCCCCCCACATTTTCATACATTCAACTATATACCTTCTTACTGAAGCAGTCTCTTTGCATAAAATGAATCGAAACTTATGAAGCCTATCATCTGAGACTTGGAAATCAGAAAAGTGAGATTAGAGAGAGCATTTTTTGGGTTCTTTTTTTCACACTTCTGTGATGTTATGGGTGGTAGAAAGCAAAAGGGAGAAGGTGCCAGGAAAGTATAGGTGCGAACAAGTAAACAAGGAAGTTTATGTTAGAGGCATAATTTTAAAGTATTGTTTGTGGTCAGAGATGCTGTTGCTAATTGTACAATTTTCTGTATTTCCCCAGGTGAACAAATTTGCTTTTTTGTCTCTGGCCCTTTACGCAGTGTAAAACAACTAGCAGTTTCTAGCCCTACACTAAAGCTTATTTATATTTAAATTTGTGATTCTAAACTTTAAATGTATAACATCATGTTAATTTTGTAACATCAATGCTTTTCTTAAAAATTTGAATATATTTATATTGTTACTTGTATTGCACGGTTCTCTTTAAGGAATCTTAGAGGGATAAGTGTCTTATCTCTTTTTTAAAAGATCAGCTTGGAATCTTCTGCTTCCACCATATCTTAGTAAAATATAGCATTGTTTCTAACTTTATTTGGCAATATAAAAGTTGTGTCTTGTGGTCTCCATTTATATAACCAGCATCGAGGAAAAAGAGTATTTGCTGGGCATACAGTGTGAGTATAGCTCTTACTTTGAATACTTTAGAGATTATGTGATTTTAGTCCAGGAGACAACTTTATACTACTTCACTAGCAGAAACACTACTATTATTTTTACTGACCTATCAATACCACCAACTTAATAGTAATAAAAGCTAGTATACATAGAGTTCATTATGAATCAGACTGTAAAATATATATAACTTTTATATTTCCAAATAAAAGTAGGTAATACTGTATTCTCTCGTAGATGTGTTTGAGGCAGTTTCACATAGATTTTTTTTAAACATACAGACACACTCTATAAAAGGATTGTGGAGTATATATGTAATTGTGGAATATATATGTTCAAAGAACCTATCATATATTAACTCCTGTAATACTCATAATTCTATGGCATAAGAACTATTTTTATATCTACATATAAATAAACAAGCTGAGACCCAGAGATGTTAATTAAATTCCTAAGGTCTAGAGATGAATCTTTCTCTCCTATGTACCATGTTTCTTTTGCCTTTGCTTATTTTACAATGTGTGGTATGTAGCCAGTCTAGTGGCCCTGCCAGGATTTCAAGCCCAGCAGTCTGGCTCCTGAGTCTATGCACTTCACATCAAAGCTGTACACTCTTCCATTTCATTTATTTATATTTCCATCCTTCATCGCAGAATTTACTGGACGTACCTTGCTTTAATAATCAACATTTCAAAAAGGCTGTTTTTTGCAACTTTTCCACTAAAAAGTTCCTATTTTAATAAAGTTTGGTAATTTCTTTTTAGAATGTTCTTGAATACATTTGTTCAAAGACCTGACACTCATAGTTAACTTATCAAAAAGTAGTAACTAACTGAACAGATCTTCCTGGTATCACAACACTTGACTTTGTATCACTCTCAAAAGTAAAACTTTCCCCAGTTATGAGTAGTTTTTCCTGGAACATTCAGACAGTAACAAGAAGTATATCCACATTTAATTAAACTCATCTCCTTTGCCCCAGGATGTCAGAAAATTTTAAACATTGCCAATAATGATTATTCTATTTAACAGTCAGAAGACACTTATCATTCTTTTACTTGTCAAAATTAGTGAGTTTAATATGGTTTTATAAATTGAGTCTGTCATAAGTCTTCAAAATTGTAAGAGCTAAGTCTTCCATTACTCTACATAGATTATCCCTTGCAACAAATTATATTACCAGTTAACTGCATCTAAACTCTAGAAGGAATTAGTGTATAATCCTGTAGTGTCTATCAGGAAACTGTTTTTGAATATATCTTGGTGGTAATATACTAATGTCTTCTTAAATTAGGTTTTTTAGCATTTTACATTTTATAAACTTTTTTAGGTTAAAAGAGTCTTGTGAAAGGTTGCACGATCTGAATGCTCTGTTTAGAGGACACTACTGTGTTCCTTTGTCACCATTGAATTTTTTGGTCATATTTAATACATATTTAATGTATATCAGTACACAAGCACACACAAGGCATATGATTTGCAAAGAATGGATGTTAGATTTTGATCACAAAAGGTATTTTTACAAAGATTACCTCAATATTTGTTAGAGTTGCAAAATATGATTCCAAAAGACACCTTTACCTCATAAAATAAGGCAAATGGAAAACTTCACCAGAGATATTTTCTTTAGAAGTGAATAATTCCAAATATGAATGTGCTTACATAGGTAATAACTTTTGTTGTCATAAGCTTATTTACATTATTCCAACATCTAGGACTTTAACCAGTTTTTATGTTCAGCTAATTCTGAATGAATTTATTCCTGGCATAGTCCCTTTACTCCATTATAGGCAGAGCTCTGAACAAATTCCAGGATTTAATTCAGAACAGTTACATATTTAATGTATTATGTGAAAAGCTTTATAGGATTGGGTACAATATTGACAACACTCCTATTTCTAAGAATATTAGACGTTTCTGTAATATCTATTTGTTTTGACATTGTTTTCTGTTTAACAAGGTAGTACTCCTTACAATGTTGTGATAAATTCATATTTTTTGTAAAACTTGTTCTTCCTCCCAACTTTAAAATTATTTCTTGAAAACTATTATTTTTCATACCTATTTGCCTCTAGAAGCAATTGTTCATAATTGAGGCATATTTTCCTTTGTAGAAATTCACAACTGTGAAGACAGAGTTTCCCAGTGAGTTAATAAATGGGCATTCGTCACAATCTCTAGGGTCAAAGACTGAGTTTGTTGTTCTTAGTGCTAATAGAACCAAATCACCTGCAATTGAATATTTAACATGTTGGAAAGCCAAACCAACTAAAGGTCTTCTTTTTTATAATGAGTAATTTGAAAGTGAAAACTTCTTGAAGCATGCAGTCAAAATAAAACTCATGGGCAGCATTTCCTAAATCATGTAGCTTTACTCAGTGTCATGTTGAGTTGACAAATGTGAAGCCTTTTGCTATGCCCACCAATTTCTTGTGTTAACTCCCCTTGTTATACTTTCCTTATTAATAATCCTATTCATAAAAATCCCATTATTGGGGAAAACAAACCTATTAGGGAGTCACTGCTGTCAGTCTAATCTAAGCCACTATCAATAATTTTCTTACTGGTATCCCTGCTTCTACCTTGTCTTAACTATTATGTGTACTGTGAAGACATTGAAGCCAGCCTGCCTGGGTTTAAATCCTAGCTCTGCAATAGCCCAGTTCCTTAAACAACTGGTATAAGAGCTATGAAATGCTAAATAAAGTCTTCATGCAACCCTTGTAAAATGTCAGATGCTAATCCCTTGGTTGACTTCCCCTAAATAACTTCACATGTAAAAATAAATAAAATCCAAACTACTACTCATTTTATCCCCCATGTTCCAGTTACACTGTACTCGTCCCCAGAGATACTAAGTAGTTCTACTTCAAGATTTTGCACTTGCAATTCCTTCTTCCTGGAACACCTTTTCAGATTTTTGCATTGCTCACTTCCTCAGGTAGCTGCTCAAATATTGAGAGTCCTTCCTCATCCAAGATAGCACATTCCCAGCAAACATATCCTCAATTCATTAGTCTCTTGCCTCATCTTTTTTTGTCTTTTGCCATACAGCACTCATTGCCACAGACTTTATATGGTTTAGTGCCTTTCTCTCCAAACTGGAAACAAGGATTTTATTTATTGTGCTCCTAAGCACAAGGATTTTATTTTGGTCATTCCTGTAGTCTCAGCACCTAGACCACCATCTGGCACTGGCAGTTCTTAGTAAATACTTGCTGAATAGATGCTATATTTAAAAAGTTTTATTTCCCCCTAAGGACTATGGAGAATGTTAACTTCCTATGCTTTTTGTTTGTTTGTTTGTTTTTCATAGTATGAACCTAATTTCCTACTCCCATACTTTCACTTAATCCAGATCATCTCATTAGGTCACCACTCACTTAAAAAGTTAAACTTTGGGCATTTCAAAACAAAAAAAGAGTAGGTTCTTGTTTGCAAAGCATAAACAAGCATAAGAAAAAATGTTGTTGTTTTCAAGCGTAAGTGTTAAATGCTATCAGTAAATTAAATTCTAGATGAAACAGCCATATTTTTCAAACATTCCATTTTTAATATATATACCTATTAAGATCTATGGAGATTTCACATTAGATCATGAATGGGTAGTACTTTATGATTAGAGAATATATATACACACACAGAGAGGAGAGAGAGAGAGTTACAATTAAGTTTCTTTTTTCTCTTTTACAGGTTAATGACTCCAGAGAGTAAGATCAGATTCGTCCACAAAGAGATGGGCATAATACCAAGCTGGGGTGGCACCACTCGGCTAGTTGAAATAATCGGAAGTAGACAAGCTCTCAAAGTGTTGAGTGGGGCCCTTAAATTAGATTCAAAAAATGCTCTAAACATAGGAATGGTTGAAGAGGTCTTGCAGTCTTCAGATGAAGCTAAATCTCTAGAAGAGGCACAAGAATGGCTAAGGCAGTTTATCCAAGGGCCACCAGAAGTAATTAGAGCTTTGAAAAAATCTGTTTCTTCAGGCAGAGAGCTGTATTTGGAGGAAGCATTACAGAATGAAAGAGATCTTTTAGGAACAGTTTGGGGTGGACCTGCAAATTTAGAGGCTATTGCTAAGAAAGGAAAATTTAATAAATAACTTGTTTTTTGTGTGGATGTACTCCAAGTAAAGCTCCAGTGATTAATATGTAATGATAAATATGAATATCAGAATTACTTTGAAGGCTGCTATTAATATGCAGACATCTTTTGAATATCTGAATTCGTTCGCCTTATTTCTTACCAGTTACTCACTTGGGTATTTACTGTGTAATCTGGAACATTTAGTTAAAATATACACTTTTGGCTTAAAACTCATTGCTGTCAATTTCAATAATAATTCTTAGCCTATAACCAAAGAGCAGTGTTTAAAAGAAAAAGCTATACAAAACCTATTCCTGGTGTTACCTTTCATAAAATTTTTGTTCTGTCTTACCTGGAAATAATTTACCAAAATAATTGAATGAGTGTTGCTGTCAAAGAACGAAAGTGGGAAAGAATCAGTGAACAAGAAAATAAGAAAGGATATGATCAATTATTTTCTTCTGCTCCAAACAGCTGGAATAAAATTAAAAAGATGTACCTCACTACACACTACAAATTTGGAACTTTATTTGATCTTTTCAATAATTTGTTTTTCATTTTAAATTGTCTCCTAGGCTAGGTGTGGAGGCTCACGCCTGTAGTCCCAGCACTTTGGGAGACCAGGGTGGGGGGATCATGAGGTCAAGAGTTCAAGACCAGCTTGACCAACATGGTGAAACCCCATCTCGGCTAAAAATACAAAAATTAGCCAGGCGTGGTTGTATGCACCTGTAATCACAGCTACTCAGGAGGCTGAGGCAGGAGCATCAACTTGAATTTTGGAAGTGGAGGTTGCAGTGAGCTGAGATCATGCCACTGTACTCCAGCCTGGGTGACAGAACGAGATTCCGTCTCAAAAAGAAAATATATATGTATCTACTAAACAGTGGTAGCCATGACAGAGAGAGTCAACTGATTCTACAAATTGGACATTCGTTTGTGTGCCCTGGAATTTCCAACTAGTAATAAACAACTACTGTTGATAAAATTTTAAAATTGAAACCACTTGGATTCATGAAGCATCCTGCAACATAAATTTGCATTTTACATCAGATTTCTATTTTTTTCCTGAAAAGCAACCTTTCTTCTTGTATAACTATCTTTCAAAAGTAAATGTAATAAAAATATACAACATAAAATTTTTATGATCATCTCAGTAATACTTTTTAAAAAATGTATAAGTCAAAGAATTAAGTTCTAGTTATAATGCATCATAAGAGGTAAAAAGTATTTGCTACTGTAACATTCATTTCACACTGCATTTGCTTTATCATCATGATCCTACTGTTGAGTTCGGAAAATATGGTAAGACAGACTCACGTTACTTATTTTCAGAGGTAAATTCTAGATTACTGTGTCAACCCAATACTTGGCCATAGATGTTATAACCACCAAATAAAAGTGGATTTTGTGGTCTACAACATTTTGTGTAAAGTGAATTCATGTCTTCTAACTCTGTAAGTCTGCCATTTAATCCAGACTGTTAGACCACTAATGAATATGGTAAGGAAAACAAAAAATATTAATGGTGTCATCTATTTGAGGAATTTAAGTCTCACAGGCTTTAGGTTTATTTCCATACATATTTATTATATGCACACTGCTTATAGATTCTGTTTAAATAATCTCTAAGGAAAAAAATCAAACTTTTCTGAGCAGGTGATTAAGCTGAAAACAACCAATTCAGACTAACACTTTGTAAGTGACCTTTGGTCACAAATGTCAAAATATTTCCACACCCTTTCCACACTCAAACAAGAGACAAATTGTTTTTGATAAACTCTAGTATTTATTAAATTATAAATTTTGTAATCAAAAAGAAAACTGCAGACCAAAAAAACCTCAAATTATAAGACTAGACAGCAAAGCCCATGGGAACGCCATGAAGTGTGTTACCAAGATTCTGAAACATTAAGTTACTGGCTGTTTTCATCTCCATTTCAATAACTTTACTATAAAATAGTTGTTATTCATCTATTTTAAAATCCCAAATTCACATCTATTCTTACATTAAATTACGCTTCCTGCTTATGATATCAAACATCTTACAGGTGCCAAATTTTAGTAATGGTCTTATGCCAATCCATGCAGAAAAATAAGACACAATGCAAGAGTCAGATGAGGACCATTAATGCACAGATAATACAAACACACTGGCCAAAAGAACTAAAGAAGTTTTTAAAAACTATAAAATAAACAGACCTCAAGAAAACTGGGTTATTACTAAATGGCTCTCAACTATTAACACCGAAGTTCCTTACATTAAATAAATTTCTCAACAGAGACGTGTTAGACATTTTAATTACGGGTCTATCCTTCCCATACCCCTTCCCACCCCAACTCCCAAAATGCACTACTAGGGATAAGTATAATGTTATGTGGGCAGAAATTTACAGGTAACCCTTTCAACCTTGAGCATGGAGCTGAAGACATTTTTATTTAAACTTCAGTTGCTGTGCACTGTCCATCAGGCCTTCTAGATCTGACACTGACACTCACTGTTCCACCCCCTGCTACTGATCGATCAGTTCCCGATCGATCTGATCGATCAGGTACTGTCTGGTTTGCATTAGAAACCAAAAGTCTCTGTTGGGTCAAGGAGTGCTGTGCAACAACCGCAGATACATCCTCACTATCACTACTGGCATCTGATTCAGTTTCTTCAATGGAGGTGTCTGGTGCTGGTACCCTGCCTGAAGATGGGGATTCATGATCTTCTTCTCCTTCTCCCCTATGACTCCTTTCAGCTATGTTGTCTCCACTGAGTTGTAAATGAGCAAAAGAGTCTTCCAGAGAAGTGCTTGCATCAGGGGATGGTGTTGCAGGGCTTGTTAACTGACCATCTACTGACGTTAGGGGCCTTACAGAAGACACTAGGGGCTGAACAGAAGCTCCACTCTGTGCTGATACACTGTCCGCTCCATCGGCAGAGCTCTCTCTTGCTAGGTTAACAGTATTAGCATCACAGTCTAGCCTAAGTCCGGCCACTCCCTTCTTTGGTATATCTATTATATCTCGCTTAATCTTCCTGCGACGTCCATGTTCATTTCTCCTATATTGAACCATATTTTCAAGATCAGCGACATACAGAAACCCAGCAATTAACATTTCAGTGTTCTTTTTACCTTTGGAAAAAGCATCTTCCAGCTCTCTACTAGTGCGCTCATCGTACTGCCACCACCCATTTCTTCCTTCATAATACCATGCATATTCACCATTTCCTCTGCTTGCTGCCTTGAGTTCTTCTGGTGACAACAAGGTTGGCTTGTCAAGGAAATCCTCGGGAATTTCTTGTCGACAAAGAGCACATCGCTTTCCAAGCCATGAAGCTCCTTTTACACACAGATAGCAGAAAACATGCTTACAGGGCAGACTGACTGGATGAACACATGTTTGCAGACAAATGGCACATTCAGGGACGGTTAAAGAAGGTGCAGTATTAGAACAGGACTCGTTCGCTTTCCTGTTTGTAGGAAGCATGTTTATTGAATGATCAATTTCACCACAGCCAGCCATCCTAAGAAAAAATACATATAATATTAAAGTTATGTTTTAATTCTTGCAATATCTTAATTCAACAATTATGAAAATAAATACATATTAACCACCTATTATGTGCATTATATACAAGCCATATACTAGACAATAGGGATATAAAGATGAAAGTGGAGGAAAAACTCTCCAACTGATGAAAACTTTTTGCAAGTGTTTACTTGTACATATCTTGGGAATGTATACAAATTTCGTCAGTGTACTTACAGATCAGCCCTGGAGAAATACACTGAAGAACTATATAATGAAAAGCTGCATCCAGCGAAGAAAAAAAGGATACCTTGAATCATGGCAGCTATTATACACTGAAATGAATGCTAGACAAGAAATCTAAAAATCTAACTTTTGGAGTCCTTTATTAATTATGTGCTCTTAGGCACTCAGTTAAACCCTTAGTCGAAATTTCCTTAAGTGCAAATCAGAGTTTACAAAGCTCAGGTAAAAATGGACCAAAAAACCCATGTTATAATCACTAAAGCTCCATAAAGGTCACAATCACATGAGACCAAGGGAGAAAATAACATGAATACTGAAGATGCCCTGAAGAGGAGGAAGAAAAGAGATTTGTCAAGTTGGATATATCCAACTTAAACATTGACATAAAATTTATAATTTCTGCTTTACTAATTCAGATAAACATTTACTAAATACCTACCATGATCCAGATACAATATTAACTGGTCTAAAGATAAATGAAGACACACAACTACTCTATTAAATAAGGAAACATATACATGCAGATATTTATCTTATGGCCTGATTCTTGCAGTAATCAAAATGTGTTAACATACTTACTAAAACAGCAATAAGAGAGAGATGAGAGGATGGACATAGGTTAGAAAGTTTAGTGTTCGTTTGGGGCGCCTGGGTAGTGGAGTAGATTCCAGGCAGACGCATGTGCAAGACACTGAGTCAAATAGTCATACAAGCAATGGAAGAGCAGGAGATGAAGCTGTGAAGGTAACCAAAAGCCAAGCCATAAAAACCTTATTGTGCCCTGCAAAGGAAACATTTGACATTTTTCCCCACAGTTAAAAAAAAAAAAAAAAAAAAAAACCAGAAATTTGAAAAGGGGAGAAAATAATAGAGGGAGTAAACCACTGACAAGTAAAAGAGGCTGAGAAATGAAAATGAAGATGTCAGAGACTGGAAGCTTTAAATGAATGACAATCTCTGTGCCAGTTAATTCTGCCATTCTAAATAGGTCCAGTTGTTAAGTCAAAAAGAATGGTTACACTCATCAAAAATTGAAAAACAATAATCCTAGGCTATCTTCACAGCACACCCAATCTTTACTAATTTTACTGCCTTTTCTGTGTTCTTGGTTCCAAGACAGACAAAAAGTAACCCAAAAAGCTTAAAAAGATGGCACATATCTAGTCAAGGAAGCAATACAATCTCAATGGAAGAACTAATCACTAAAATGCTTAATTTCCAAATTACTTTTCAACTTTTAATAACATTTCCAATCAATTCCTTTACCAGAAATTCTAGGTTATAGGCATCAACAAAGTATAACTTTTTCCTAACCTATGGAAAAGTGTTAAGTCAGGGATGTCTAATCTTTTGGCTACCCTGGGCCACACTGGAAGAAAAGGAATTGTCTTGGGCCACACATAAAATACATTAACACTAATGATAGCTAATAAGGTTTAAAAAATTGCATAATGTTTTAAGAATGCTTAGGAATTTGTGTTGGGCCTCATTCAAAGACATTCTTGGTCACATGTGGCATACAGGTTGGATAAGCTTGTTCTAAGTCAACCTTAATAGGACTTCTTAATATATTAAGCATTATAAAAGCTTCCAAATATTTTGAGATAAACATTTGCCTTCAAAGATCTTGTAACTTGAAACAACAGTAAGTTACAAGTGAAGGCATATGTTTTTTAAACAGCCAATTAACATCCCCTGCCTATTTCCTCCCCTAAAAGAACTGGCTGTGTACACATTTTGTTAGGTTTTCAGAAATTTTTATCCCTTTAAATTTGGGTCAAAAAAATTAGTTTCCATAAAATTCCTGAAAATCTTTTTTTCCAAGTTTCGTATTTATTTAAAGCCCCAAGTAAGAAAAAGAAAACAAGTAAGCAACCTATTTACAAGTAATAATTTAAGAAAGATTCTACTCGTGATTCCATTCATAAGCCAAATAGAAAAATGTGTTATGATCATCATTACCTTGGAAAAACAATAGTAACATCTTTATATAAGAAGTCTGTATCTTAAACCATCTAAGTACCTTATGAGCAAAGGACAGGCTCATAAATTTAAACCATAAATAAAAATAACAAGTCTGGTAAAATGTAAATAATATACCCAACATGTCACATGGACCAATGCCAAGATTTTAAATACATAATTTCAAACCTATTGTATTTAAGTAAAATTGGCCCAAGAAGTCAGTTTTCCATCACATACAACTCACTTATCTACAGATAGTGATTAAACATTACCCTCCACCCTACTTAATATGATCAATATTTTGCATGACTCTTATTCTTGCATGTGTGAATAAACCCAAAACATGTAATTTCAAGACTAAGAAAGCAATTACAGTCATCCCAGGAGAAGGCATGAATTATAACATAATTGGAAAGGCAAAACAATTCTGTTTCTGCAAGTATTTTGGTTCCAATCATCAGAATGAAGTAAAGTTGGACAAAGTTAATCTGAAAACAATGGACACCAGGCAGCTAAATGGTCATTATTTCATCTGAAGCACTCTTGACTATCAATTTGCCATAGCAATTTCTAAATTTGGATTCAGTTTAACCCATCAAGTATCCTGTTAGTCTATCACTAAGAAATGGACAGAAAACCTTAGTAGTATTTCTTACATAATTCTGAATGAGGCACATGCAATAAATAAGAAACAGATAAAGATGTAACAAGATAGACAGAAAGTAACCCAAAACTGCCAGTCTCCCTATAAAACATCTTTCAAGGCTTTTTTAAGAACCATCTTAATCTACTCTACATAGTCTCAATTTTGCAGTTTCAATGATCTTAAAATAGGTGGGAAGTTAAATGTATGCAGATGATCATACCAATATGTAAAAAAGAAATGCTTTATCCCTCCCTTTTTGTAGAGCAAGGATTTGGTAAATAATTAATGGTAATCAAAGAGAGGTAATTCCCTATCTCATAAATGTCTCAGAAAATTCTAATTCTGAATCATTTTGAAAAAGGGAATTTATTCCCAGTATACTAAGAAAAATTTAATACACAGAAATTTGGAGTGTAGTCCAATTCTGTCAATAAGTATAATACATCACTTACTTTCAAAGACCTTTTTACTGAATTCTTCATGTGATATTCCAACTATTAAGTATACATCCCCTTCTTCTAATAGATAAACCATGTGAAATATTTCTGCAAGACAAGTAAGAGTCTACCTTCTCAAGAAGACAAAATATAGAGGGGTATGGGCAGAGTTAGTGGAAATCTCCAAGTCGGATTTCCTTGAAACTTCTTGAAGGTAACTAGTCAAATGAAAGGAAAATTATTATAAGCAAAAAAAGTCCTTTAGTATATGCAGTATTCAAGAAATTTTTAGCCAACAATAAACCTCCAAATATTAAAAATCAGATTTTTAAAGCCTGAATTCAGAATCCAATTACAGACACAAAAAAGGGGACAATATTACACATAATTTCAAGGGGCTCAAGGATTTCTATGAAGCTAGTCCACATATGAACCCCTGAGACAAGAGGAATTCACTGAAAGGTTTATGTCAGGAAGTAACAGTCAGTTTAGTAGCTTCCAGAGCATTTGAACAGCAGGTTGGAGGAAAGTTTGGTAATGTGGGAGAAAGTATGGCAAAAGGGAAACTAGAATTTATATACATATCCAGGTAGTAATGCAAGGATAAGATAATTAGAGGGATGATGCTGATATAAGGTGTCAACTATAGAATGTAAGAAATGCTAAGGAAAAAGAAATAAAAGCATATGGTTACTGATGGATGGTGACACATTCACCAAAATTCAGTATTTGAGGAGAGTTCTGTCTCAGACATAATGACTTTATTAAGGTGTTCAGGTGGAGATAGGCAGATGACAGTTTGGTACTCTAAGAATAAATCTAAGCTGAAAAAAATCTGGTGATTCATCAACACATACATGGTCCTTGAAGCCATGAAAATGAGTAAATGCCCAAATTAAACCTGTAGAGAGAGCAGTCCCAAGGGCCAACCACAGAACCTTGAATTACTCCAAGATTTGTGAGGTAAAATAACCAGGAAGGGGTGGAAGGAATGGTCAGAGAAGAAGAGGGAACAAACATAACCACCACCACAAAAGCCAACAAGGGAGACATTCACAAAAAAAATATAATCAAGCAAGTTACTCTATGTGCTGAAAATTTAACCATACAATTCACTTTTGTGTGGTGCAAAAGTTGTGAACCCCATACACTTAATAGCAATTTTGGTTTCCTAAACACCATCAATCCCAGTAACCTTTTATTCGACCAAAACATCTTTCTTTCTCTATCCCCCAAAGACTATAACAAAACTTCTCCCTCCTAGTTTAGAGATGTACTAACACCTGTATCACTGAGAAATAGATAATTATTATTAATACATATCATTACATGTAATAAAAAATAAATCCTCAAAATCTATCTTTAGCTTTATTCTGTCTTAATCTTTTTTCCTCCTGGCTCAGGATGGGGTACTGCTACTTGTTTACAAAGCTAATCCATCAACATCTAGTTAGTACTGTCCACTAACTCCTCCAAGACTGATCAGTATACTCTGTTCCTAAGTATCAAAACCAATTAATATCAATTTTATGTTAAATAAATGTAAAATCTGGTAATATAGTAAGTACTCATAAACAGTTACTTTGAAGTCTCTTTCTTCTACCCTGCCTTCCCACATATGACTATTCCCAGACTTCTGTAAAATGTGTTGATAATTAGGCAGCTGTTTCCCTCCTCATTCTCTTGGCTTGAAAAATATTTCCTAATTTTCTTTGACTGTCAAAATTCTACCCATTCTTTAAAGGCAAGGTTAAAGTTATTCTGTTCACTCTGAACCCTTCAGATGAAATTAATCTCTTCCTTTGTTCAGTTTTAACTGCATCTTATTGCTACCTTCATATGGCATCTATTCCACTGTTTGCTAATTACATATGTCTCATTTACTAAATCATAGTAAGTTCCTTGATGACCAGCTTCTGGACTATCTGACCTATTAAGATTTTTAAAATTTATATAGGTAAGTGGACAGGATTAAATAAAAGATATATTTTAAAGACACATGCTCATTAGTATCATTTTTCAATTATCAAATTTTCAATATGGAACAAAAATGTGGTCATACTTTTAATAATTATTATTAATACATATCATTACATGTAATCAATATCATATTGGATGAGTAGAAAGCAAGAGTTTTATGTCAACTGAGAAAATGTGAAATAGCCTCTACCAAGGTCACTCTTGTTCTAATAGTAAAAACACTATCATTAAAAGTCAACAAAATAGGCTGGGCATGGTGGCTCATGCCTGTAATCCCAGCACTTTGGGAGGCTGAAGCAGGTGAATCATGACGCTGGGAGATTGAGACCACCCTGGCTAACATGGTAAAACCCGTCTCTACTAAAAATACAAAAAATTAGCAGAGCATGGTGGCGGGTACCCGAATTCCAGCTACTTGGGAGGCTGAGGCAGAGGAATCACTCCAACCCAGGAGACAGGGGTTGCAGGAGCCAAGATTGCAACACTGCACTCCTGCCTGGGCGACAGAGTGAAACCTGTCTCAAAAAAAAAAAAAAAAGTCAATGAAATATTCACTACATTTTTCATGAATGACATCAAGTTGCATAGGGTTCATATTAATTTAGAAAACAGAAATCTATTCATAATGGAAAAATGTTTTATCAATAATAGTGTGAAGTTAAATATGAACAAATCCAAGGTAGTGTGTAACACGTTAAAGCAGATCATGCAAAGACAAATGATGAAAGCACAACTAGTAAAACTGGGGATCCGACTGAAGTGATATGAATAAAAAGCAATAATGTACTACATTAAAAAAACAATTATGTAGAAATTCCTTTAATTTAGTGAAACAAGATTTTAGTAACTAGTGTTTTCATAACCCAGTAGTCTGTCTTACTTATAAATGCCTAGCTTGCCAGCTTAGTTATTTAAGAAAATTATTATGTAAAAAGAAAGTAGAACCCAGAGGACCTGGAGATCTCTGCAGTATTTTAGCTTTCTATGAGCAAACTCCTCTGTCTTCAGTTTTTCTTACAGAGATTCTTCCCACTGAGGCGACTTGGAAAACTATGTTAATGATAATTTAATGTAAATAAATTGTTAATAAAGCACTTATAAAGCAACAGAAAATGTTCATTTTATATAATTAAAACTAAACATGACAGACACTCAATTTACTATACTTTAAACCAATCCACTTAATTCACTGCAGCACTAAAAAAACCATGATGCTACACTTACATTTCTATTACAGATCCCACAGATGCCTGCCACAAAAATAAAGCATCTTCTTCACTAGCAGTCAGCCAGCTTGCAGTATTTTCTCTTCCACTGCTGGTTCATTCTTTGTGCTGAAAAAGAAAAAAATTCAACATCAACTTTTCTGCAAACGAAGATCAACAGAATCAGTTAATTATTTATAACTTTTCACAAAATTCAGTGGAACACTTTATCTTAAAAGTGGAAAAAATTAAAGACAAGATGCATGCTTTTGTCCCTGCTACTCAACATGACTATAAGTTCTAGTAAGAGCGAATTAGGGAAAAGAGATAAGGCATACAGATGCGGAAAGAGGAAGTAAAACTGTATCTATTCTCTCTATATAGAAGATCTCACAGAATCCCCAAGAAAGCTAATAAACAAATTCAGCAAAGTTGCAGGTTACAAGTTTGACACACACAAAAATCAGTTGTGTTTTGATACATCAGCAGTCAACAATCCAAAGAGGAAATCAAGAAAGCAATTCATTCATAATAGCATCTAAGGGAATAAAACAGCCAGGAATCAACTTAACCAACAAGGTGAAAAACTTGTACACAGAAAACTATCAAGCATTACTGAAAGAAATTAAAGAAGAGCTAAGTAAATAGACAAGTAATGTATGGATTGGAAGACTTAACATATTAAAATGACAATACTACCCAAACTGATCCACAGATTCAACATAATTCTTATCACAATTCCAACAACCTTTTTTGAAGAAATAGAAAAGCAATCCTTAAATTCATATGAATTGCAAAGGACCCTAAGTAACCCAAACAATCTTGAAAAACCCAATGAGAAAACTTACTACAAAGCTAAGGTAACAAGACAGTGTGGTGCTGGCATAGGATAAATACACCAATGATATAGAATTGAAAGTCCAGAAATAAACTGACACATCTGATTATAGCCAACTGATTTTCCAAAAGGGTGTCAAGTCTACTCAGTGAGGGAAAGAAGAGCCTCTAACTAATGTTGTTGAGACAACTGGATTTCCACATGCAAAAGAATAAAGCTGGACCTCTAACCTTATACTATATATCAAAGTTAACTAAAAATGAATCAATAACCTAAGTCTGAGAAATAAAACCATAAAACTCTTAGAAGAAAACATAAGAGCAAATCTTCATGGCCTTAGATTTGGCAACGGATTCCTAGATATGACATCAAAAGCATGAGAAACATAGGAAATAAACAGGGCCCTATAAAAGTTTGAAACTTTTGTGCATCAAAAGACATTGATGAGAAAATAAAAAGACAAACTGCAGAATGGGAGAATATCTTTGCAAATCATATATCTGATAAAGGTTTAATATCCAGAATATGTAAAGAACTACAGCTCAACAACAAAAAGACAAACCAATTAAAAAGTGAGCTAAAAATAAGCAAAGAATTCAAAGATATCAAATGGTCAATAAGCACACAAAAAGATTCTTAACATTATTAGTAATTAGGGAAATATAAATCAAAATCACAAATATACATCTGTAAAAATGCTACAATTTTTTTAAAGGAAAATAAGAAGTGTTGGTGAGGATATAGAAAAATAGGACCACCTTTGAACACTGCTGGTCAGAAGGTAAAATGGTGTAGCTGCTGTGAATAAAAATTTGCTGCTTCCTCAAAAAGTTAAACATAATTACCAATATAACAGAGCAATTCCACTCCCAGGAATATAGCAACAGAATTGAAAACAGGTTCTCAGATACTCATATGCCAATGTTCACTGCGGAAATATTAGGCAAAAGGGGGACACAATGCAAGTATCAATCAACAGATGAATGGATAAACAAAATGTGGTCTATAAATACATCAGTACATTATTCAGTAATAAAAAAGAATATGTGCTACAACATTGATGAACCTTGAAAACATACTAATAAGCCAGATACTCCAAAGGATTGTATGATTCCACTTATATGAAATATCAAGAATAGGCAAATTCATAGAAGCAGAAGGTATCAGAGGTTACCAGAGACAGGGGGAAGGAAAGAATGGGGAGTTATTGCCTAATGGGTACAGAGTTTCAGTTTGTAATGCTAAAAAAAAACGTTGTGGAAGTTGATAATGGTGATGGTTGTACAACAATGTAAATGAAATTAACCACATGGAATTGTACTCTTAAAAGATTGTACCATCTCAGTCATTAATCTTCTTTCTTCTCATTTAGTATTTCCTTCTCCACTTCACCATGTTCACTACTGGACGCAAATCACATTACACAGAACTAATAATCAAGAATACAAGATAACTAAAGAAATGATAGATCTTACAGTAAACACAAGATAGAACACCTTTTAGTTCCATGTGGCTCTCTTACTATAGATATCTATTTCCCTAAGGTATCTTAAGATTTTAGCGTTTAAAGAAACATACTCTTAATGCCATATGTGGCCTCTAAATACAAGCTGACTTATCCTACCAAATGTTTAACAGAACAATTTGTTTTAAAATCAGAGAACTTTCAAAAGTAACTGACTGTGATGGTTAATACTGTGTGTCAACTTGATTGGACTGAAGGATACAAAGTATTCATCCTGGGTGAGTGTGTGAGGGTGTTGCCAAGAGTTTAACATTTGAGTCGATGGGATGAGGAAGGCAGATCCACCCCAGTATGATGGGCACAATCTAATCAGCTGCCAGTGAATATAAAGCAGGCAGAAAAACCTGAAAAGGAGAGACTGGCCTAACCTCCAGTCTAATCTTTCTCCCGTACTGGATGCGTCCTGCCCTCCAACATTGGACTCCAAGTTCTTCAGTTTTGGGGCTCAGACTGGCTCTCCTTACTCCTTGCAGATAGCCTATTGTGGGACCCTGGTGATCGTGTAAGTTAATACTTAATAAACTCACATATATATATATGTATATATGTGTATATATATACATACACACACACACACATGCACACACACACATTAGTTCTGTCTTTAGACAACCCTAATATACTGACTAAACAAGGTTTCTAAGTATCCTGTTGTTTTGTTTTAATCTGATTTTAGATGATATGGACCCCAATGTTTTGACTTTCCTCCCAACCCTTTCACCACCCTCTAGGTGCCTACAACTTCAAAGGTTTCAAAGGCTATGTTCATTTCCTTGCTGCAGCCTACTCCAAACAGAAACTGCCCATCTTCATACACACCCATACACTCCCTGTATATACGATGGGGGAGACAATTTACTGCTCCAACATCATTACTTATTCTTTCAAGTCTCTATTACTGACTTTTAACATTCCCTAAAACTGCTCTCTTACCACCTTTAAGGGATTAATGTCATCTTTTCACTACTGTTCATCCTCTTCACCCTAACTCCTGACATGACCATGAGCCTATTTACATATTCTTGAAAATGAACCATCTAACACTTATTGAACAGGTTACTTGACTTGTCCCAACTTCTGTTCATCAGAATCACTGAAATTGCATATTAGAAATATACATTCTTGGCCCCTTTCCTTAGAGATTCTAGGCCAGTAGACATAGGTTTAAACCTAGGAATTTCACCCAAGGTGGTACTCATGCAGGTAATCCTTCAAATACAATCTGAGAAACATTGTCCTCAATTTTCAGTTCCTTAAATCCAAAATTTGAAGAAATTAATCTCCTCTGGCAACCAAATATTGTGATCACATTTGAAACTGTTGCCTAAACTGCTGTCTGAAATCTTAATCTGACTCTCAGATCACAAGCTCTGGTCCTGCCAGCTTACTCATTCCCATACCTGCTCTTCAATTTCATGAGGACCTACAATCTCTTGATCATCTCCTTTCCTTCATCCAGTTCCTGATCTCATTTTCTTTCCTGTCCATTCTTGAACCCAATCTTTTTTTTACTTCTTTCCTGACAGAACCCTTGCCCCCGCTTCATATACACACATTTTAAAAACCCCCATTTCTGCATAATTCTTACGATATGACATATAAGTTCATGCCTTATCTACTTTATGTTCACAGAAAAAAAGAGAAAGTCCTTTCCCTCACCACACGGCCCCCACTCTCCACACCTCAACCAACACCACCAAAAATTCAGTGAACTTTTATCCCAAACCCCTTTGGAATCTATCCTGTATGCTCTACTCATTGCTAGTGTCCTATTTTAGACCTACATCATCACTCACGTATTGTTCGGACTGATTATCTTGTGTCAGTATCACCCTCAAATTCATTTACTAAGCCCTTGAGATTCTCTCTTTCTCTCTCTCCCTCTCTTTCTTTCTCTTTCTCTGTCTGTTTCCCAGGCTGGAATGCTGTGGCATGATCATAGCTCACCATAACCTCAAAACGGCTTGGCTTAAGTGATCCTTCCATCTCAGCCTACTCCCAATAGCTAGGACTAAGTGATATATTTAAAAGGTAAAATGGACCAGGTTTTTTCCACATGTGAAAGCCCAATATGGCTCCTTAGCCTACACAATAAAGACAAAACTCCTTAGGACAACATCCGAAGGTTTTAAAGGTGGGAAGTGTAAATAACTCTGTAGTCTTTTTTATCTTCAACAACCACCCACAGATTAATAATCTAGTTGTGTCACATTACTCACAGTCCTGCAACCCTCCCTTTGTAGTTCTGTATTTCCTCCTGCCTGGTACAATCTATTCCCTTTTACAGCTTATGAATGCCTATTTGTTCTTTAATATATTACACAGAAGTGGTTATCCCATTTTCTCTACCTCCAGAAAGTTAATTGTTCTTTCCTCTATATTTTGTGTTTTTCTATTACTGAATGTATTACATGCAATAATTTCATTCGTGAAGTCTCTTCTATTAAATAATGAACCCCCTTAAGATTGAGACCTTTTTATATTTCTAAGTAAACTGTCAATCATTTTTTGTGGAACTGATACTTTTTGGATGAATGAAAAATGAACTTCTAAAAGTAACTTGTGAGAAATAGAGTATCAAAGGATTAGATTTATTTATTCAAATAACACAACACTTGAGTTCTAACTGTGAACAAGGCACCCAGCTGGTGCCTATAAGTTACATAAAAATATGTAAGTTCTAATCCTTTCTTTATATAACTTAAAATCTAAAGGAGTTCTTACATTTACAAATATAAAATTCAACCCATCTTTGTATCTTTTGGC